GGACTTGCCCAGCCGCCCGCCCGCCGTGCCCACTCGGCCGGCGCCACCCCCGCGGCCAGCCCGGCCGCCGCCACCGCCCTCCTACGACCAGGTCGTCGCGCAAGGTGAGACACTCCGGCTGCTCACGCTAGGGCGGGGTCGCGCACGGAGAGACTTCCACCAGCCTCGGCGGCTGACTCTGCCTCAGTATACAGCAGATTATTAGATTAGACTTCCCATTTTCCCAACAAGTCAACCACAACATTTAGCAATCCAGCACTGCAGGTCGAAATGCCACAAATTCATTAATTATTTGAGAAATTTTTGTATCTTGTATTCTTGATTGGTGTGTATTTTTAATTGGTATATGAAATTCACGATGTCTTAGTGCACAACAGATTCGGATTACCCTTTGCATTTTAGTACCTGAGGTTAGTAACTTTTCCACCAACAACTGACCCTACTTCTTTAATTCAATAAACTAAAGGGCATCATGGTGCCGCCAAGAGCAGCCAATTGCAGTGCCTCTGGCATGGAGACATTGAGGAGAACTGAACATTTCACAGACGATCTCACCGTGGCAGTGGCAAGAATCCGGGCAGAATACTTCTCAGGCAGGCGGCCAAACAAGATGCATGCGTCAACGCGAAGTTCTTTTAGGTGAGGGAGCTGGCACAGACACGAGGCGGGGTCGCGCACGGTGCAGCTCGAAAGAAGACAGCCTCACAGGCTGACATACAGGCAAAGTTCACAGGCAGTCTGTACAACTCGTGGGAATCCCAGAAGACTGACTCACAGGAAGGCAGCCAGACACTTTGCATGCGCCAACGCGAGGTTCTTTCGAAGGCGCAGACGCCGTGGCGGGGGCTTGAACGCGTACAGGCTCACAGACAGACTGACACTCAGAGGGACTGATTATTTCACTGGCGGTCTGACTGTCGGAGTCCAAGCAGAATTACTCTCAGGCTGTGGGTCAGACACTTAGCATGCGCCAACGCGCGCTTCTTTCGTAGGCGCCGACGCCGGCGCTGGCGCGGAGCAGCTGCTGGCGGCGGCGGCGCGCGCGGGCGACGAGGAGCGAGTGCGCGCGCTGCTGCGGGCGGGCGCCGACCCGTCCGCGCGCGACGCCGCGGGCTTCTCGGCGCTGCACTGGGCCGCGTGGAAGGGGCAGGCGCGCGCGCTGTCGCTGTGCATTCGCCACGGTGCGGACCCAACTGCAGGAAGCGGCGCGGGCGGAGCAAGCCTGCGGTTGCTGCGGCGCGTAGGAGGACGTTCAAAGACATGCAGGTATGCGACTTGTAGGTATGCGACTTGCGGGTATGCGACTGGAAAATCCGCCAGACTGACTGGCAGAACGCAGGCTGACTCAGGTACGCAGACTAAATGGCAGGTACGCAGGCTGACTTCAGGTACGCAGGACGTCTGCAGGTATGCAGACTAATGCAGGTACGCAGGCTGACTCAGGTACGCAGACTGTCTGGCAGGTATGCAGACTAAATGGCAGGTACGCAGGCTGACTGAGGTATACAGACTGACTGGCAGAAAGGCAGATTGACTGGCAGGTACGCAGACTGACTGGCAGGAATGCAGACAGACTTGCAGGTATTCTCACAGACAGGGAGGTATTGGAGGGAGGCCACACACAAAAGGTGAACTCGAAAGTGTCTCTCCCTATTTGCAGGTGTTTTTCTGATTGATTGATTAGGGATTACGGGCCCGTCCACTGCTAAGGTCATTATAACCCTAAGGAGAAGTGCATGTTTCCCAGGAAGGTGGCGGTGATCTTCCTCCGCTAGATGGTGAGATCCGGCGCCGACCTTGCGTCGGCTAATGAGGTTTTCACCAACCTGGTATCTTGCACCATCGTGGTACCGCCCCAACCGGGACAAGCCGCAAGCTCCTGACCAGTATCCCGGCATGTGTAGTAGTGTGTAATGCGTTTTAGTGTGAGCGTGTGTAAGGAGTGAGGACTGGCAAGGAAGACTGCACACACTCCCTGGTTCTATTGTTAGGGTACTGCTCCGGTATTCGCCTGGTGTTGAGCGGAGAAACCACGGAAAACTACCGATCAGAGCAGCTGGCCGCTATAGTTCTCCTCCAGACAGCGACAGAACTCGACCTATCTCTGCCACCGTCGGGACTCGATTCTAGGATCTCTCGATCAGAAACATTCTAGTGACATCAGTTGATGCCATAAGGCACATCTCTCGGTCGCTGGTGATCAAACGGATTTGTCGGTAAACAGACATTTGCAGCGTACTAGCTTCCGGTTTCGATTTCGTGTCAAGGCAAAAATAGTTGTAGCTTTCCTTTTAAACAGTCAGTTTCTTTAGGTGTGTGACAAGAAAAGCTCTTGCTCGCGGGGTTTGCAAGTACCGGTGAAGGGATAACGCCATGTTCGCCACGTCTGTCTTATCCCCCAAGCGTGGGAATTAAACTAGGCCTAGGCATGTGGGACAGCGTTAGTTTGCTGGCAAATTCGGGAAGTTCACGCAAAATTACATGCAAACAAATGACGGTGCTGGCCGGATGAGTCAGCACAGAGACAGCATTACCGTTGTGTCTGAAGAGGCTCTGATCGGGTCGTCCTATGGTTCGAATCTTGACGGTGTCGACACCAGATATAGAGCTGTGTCAAAATCAGCGGTTGTCTGTAGGGAAGAATTCTAGCGACCGACTGCTCTGATGGGTAGTTTCGGTGTTTTTTTTTTCGATCATTCCGGCAGCGGCGGATCATTTCGATCAGCGGCGGCGATGTTGAAACGGTTAGCGTACTGGACTGTTGTACCTAAGGTCGCGGGTTCAAACCCGATCGAAGCCGTGGATTTTAAGGGCGAAAAAATCCTTCGTACGCCTTCCTTCGGAGGGGAAGTAAAGCCGGCTGTCCCATGTTAGTAGATTTACTTTCATGTAAAAGATCCTCAAGCCTGTTTCTCGCCCAAGAAATGCCTCCTTTCTCTGCTAGTTTATTAAAGGAGCGTAGCGAAATTTGCGTGGTCAGACGTGGACTTATGGCCCGAGTCTCGGCACGTAAAATAAGGCAAATTCAATTCAATTCAATCGTAACATTAGTAAACCAGTATCCCTTTACCTGAGAAGTACCTTAACAACTGGGCCATGGACCGAGCGACATCTCCTCTAATCCGTCTCCTCTAATCTACTTCCCACCATGCACATGCACATCTCCGTAGACTAGTCTACGGACACTACTAGACTCGTAATACATGTCGGTAGGTCAATACTTAGTTTAAATCCTCAAGCCGACGTGTAATTCGACATCATATCTCAAATTGCAGCGAGAGACAAACACCGTAGCACATCCCAGAATATAACACAAACACACGTAACAAGTAAAAACTACAACACTTTCTGCACTAAACCCTACGACAGTGGAAGCTCTCGAAAGCACACAGCCAGGGTAGGGCGGAGGTCCACTGGGCGAAATACCTGTAGAAAACTCCCAAATAGACTTGAAGGGCACCTCTGGAGCACCGACCAGTATCACATCCCAGGATATAATATGAACTTTAGTTACGAGGCAAAAGACTACTGCAAATAACGCACAAAACAGTCAATAATTCATAAAACGAAATAGGACGAATATCCGCTGTGGATGATACATTTAGGATGAAAACTCCCCTTGTTGACGTGTAAGTCGGCGCCAGATTTCTTGTACCTGCGGGAGAGGAAAACCCGATATTATCATCAGGGCCTTACAACTTTCCATCAAAACGGGACGAAGCTCGAGGGTGCTACTCTTGGAGGCAGTTTAGTGCAGCTTGTGTCGCCAGGTACAGCTGCAGGTTAGGCTCGCCAACTTCCGCACTTAAAAATTGGCTAATTTGTGAGAAATAAGAAAAGTGTATTTTAAATGTAAAATTATTCATAATATACCCATAGAAGAAGCCCCAGAAGAAAGCGTGAAACCCAGAAGAAAGCGTCGACGCTTTCTTTTGTAACATTAAGGGCCTGCTGGCTACCCGCGAACTCATGCAGCAGCCACGCACGTTTTACGTATCGTTGGCAGCAGTTGGTGTTTTAGTTCCTGTTAGAAGGTTCTACAGCAGAGCGCGCCACTTTAATGGTTTCCACCACGTTAAATGGGAGTAATAGGGCCCTGATTATCGTGTTCAACACGCCCTCGGTTTCGAAAACGGTTGAAAGTACTGAGGAAGGAACTTGAGCCCTTCACTCAATGCTTGAGACGGCTTTCGTATAACGAAGCCTATTAAGCCTTTCAAACCAACGAAGTTCCGGCCACGCTAAAACAATTAGCTCGACACGTCCTCACAATAGGGCAAAGAAGACAGACATTCCCCTCTGATATTCTAAGGGCGCAGTGCAACACAAACGCCGATTTGGCTATTGACTAAGGTCCTACACAAACCCACACCAGCCACTTACACATAGCAGTAAAACGCAAAATGCGTGCGAACTGCAACACAAAACAATCTAATCTTTGGCTAAGCAAAAACAATCAACACTTAGGATTCCGGTTACACGCACCAATGAACGCGTTCTTGTGAATTGAATTGAATTGAATTTGCCTTAATTTTACGTGGCGAGACTCGGGCCATCAGGCCCGCTCTTCCGTCTGACCACGCAAATTTCGCTACGCTCCTTTCACCAACTAGGAGAGAAAGGAGGTATTTCTTGGGCGAGAAACATGCGATTTGAATTTAGCTCAGAGGCGTCATTTAGGCTTGAGGATCTTTTACATGCAAGTAAATCTACGAACATGGGACAGCCGGCTCTACTTCCCCTCCGAAGGAAGGCGTACGAAGGATTTTTTCGCCCTTAAAAATCCACGGCTTCGATCGGGTTTGAACCCGCCAACTTATGTACAACAGTCCAGTACGCTAACCGTTACACCATCGCCGCCACAGATGCTTGTGCGTGCGCAGGCGCGTGGACGGGAGCACGCCGCTGCACGACGCGGCCGAGGGCGGCGGCGCCGAGTGCGTGCGCGTGCTGGCCGCCGCGGGCGCCGACCCCGAGCTGCGCGACGCCGCGGGCCGCACCCCGCTGCACGTAGCGGCGGCCGCGGGAGCGCAGAGCGCCGGGCGGAGGCGCTTGCTGCGCCGGCGCGCGAGTCACGGCGCGCGACGCCACGGCCACTGCCCCCGCCGACCTCGCCCGCCTCCCGCCCTGCGCAGCGCGCTCTCCGCGTGACGCTTGAAGCGCGCCTCTCTGCGGCCAGCCGCCACGCCCCACCGCCTGAAGACGATGCCCTTCCTCCAGACGGCCACGCTCACGCCTAAAGGATCAAGCACCTCCTGCCACACGGCCACGCCACCGCCGGAAGGACGATCACTCCTGCAGACGGCCACGCCACCGTCTAAAGGAGCAACACTGCCTGCCACACGGCCCACCCCACCGCCGGAACGACGATGCACCTCCTGCCACACGGCACGCCCACGCGCGGAAAGGACGAGCACCTCCTGCCAGATGGCACGCTCACGTCTAAAGGACGATGCACCTCCGCCAGACGGCCACCTCACCGCCTAAAGACAAGCACCTCCTGCCACACGGCCACGCCACCGCCGGAAGGACGATGCACCTCCTGCCAGACGGCCACGCTCACCGTCTAAAGGACGAGCACCTCCTGCCAGCGGCCACGCTCACCGCCTAAAGGATCAAGCACCTCCTGCCACACGGCCACGCCACCGCCGGAAGGACGATGCACCTCCTGCCAGACGGCCACGCTCCGCCGAAGGACGAAGCAGCTCCTGCAGACGGCCACGTCCACCGCCGGAAGGACGATGCACCTCCTGCCAGACGGCCACGGTCACCGCCTGAAGGACCAACCACCTCCTGCCAGATGGCCACACCTACCGCCTCAAGGGCGAAGAACCTCCTGCCGGACGGCGATGCGAGTTCACAAACTTTTTAAAGGAGATGGTACCTACTGGCCGATGATCCTGCTCAGAGTTCTCTGCGCCTCTAGAGCAAAGCACACCTTATAAATTCTTGGCTATCCGGGAGTCGCCACGTCGTTAGCTGAGATGCCGACGTTTCACCTGTCATGCTTCCTGAGGGCTGTGACGACGTCTCTAGATTTTACGGAATCGAGCCGCGGAACTTATGCACACCCTACCCTGCTCCGCTCCTGTTTTCTGCCTATAGGTCAGTGCAGGCATTGTGCTAAACCGGGCTTGCATATAGAGCGATTTTTATAAGAATGAGACAAAATGACTGTTCGCTAAACAAGTGAACATCACGTGTAATTCTGAGAAGTATCCCTCCGCCCTGGCAGCTGTTCAGTTGCGACTCTTCGTAAGGTGTTTGTTTATGGCTCCCGTGATGATATACAGGCGTCTAAGAGTTTCGTTAAGAGGTATATGCAGGTACGTGAGTCTGGAAAATATTGAAATATAATTACGTACGTGGAAAAATGTCTCGTGGATCACTACATTTTCGCCGGACGAGAACATCACAAAAGGAAGCGTCGATGCCATTTACAACATTGCCAACTGCAAACGAACGAAAGGAGGAAGGGGAGTCTAATTGGCTCAAGAATACAACGATCACAGAACCTTCAGTTGTGTTGCCGGTTCTAGCTGTCTAAACGATCCATTCTTATAAAAATCGTTCTATAGCATAGCATGCTCTTTGCCTGAAGGAAGATCAAACGTAATGCTAGCCGGTCCTGCCATGTACTCCGCCATGGGCACAGAAGTGATGCGCTCCTACCAGCTGCTCCTGCGCAGAATGCTTATTTTCTGAAGGAGAAATCATACCTACTTTCAGTCGGCCGTGTGTTGCGCGCTCTGAGCAAAGCACACGTCGTGCTAGCCAACGTTGTGGTGCCACACGCTCTCCACCTGAATGGCAGATCACCCTTCGCTATTCGGCGATCCTCACTGCATGTAGGGCAGAGTACCCCTCGTGCTACACGCCTTTTGTAGGATACTCTTCGCCTGAAATCAGAGCGCATCTCTTGCCAGATGGCCCTGACAGCTGCTTCTTCCCTTGATGCTCTACGTGTGCACAAGAGAGCGACTACGTAGTCATTTTGTGGCTTCCATCTAGCAGACAACTGATGATGATGGCTAAGCCATCGAAAGCTGCTATTGAATTAAAAAATATTGTTGGCAATGACAACATCTTTAATTATTTTAAAAATGCCAAAGATATCTTACCACAACACCTATATGGACAACAAAGTTTCTTTGAACGAAAAATCTTTATCTTTAATTTTGTAGTTGTAGGAAAACGCCTAAAAAATCAAACTTTTGAAATTTTGAATATTCTGAGTTAACCCTGAAAATAAAATATATGCCACCTTTATAAGTATATATTACTCGGTTCTTAGAAGAAATGTAAAGAAAAAAGTTGAAGACGTTTTTGAGAAAATATTTTTAAATGTTTCAGGAGCCTTATGTAAAGTAATTCTGAAGAACGTTTTCCAAAATCTCAAAGTTTCGTCCCGAGCCAGATGGACAGGGGTTTCTTTAATTTCGAAAATTCCTACGTATGGTTTAGACCCTAATGGTATTCACAGATGGACGGAGACATACGGACGGAAGTTTTAAAAAAACACTTTTCGGTGTCCCCCAAAGGAGACGGACAGAGAAACGGACGAACGGACGAGCTTACAGATGGACGGACGTTTTGAAGAAAAAAAGAAAAAAAAACACTTCTTCGGATCCTCTAAAACGTGTATTTCCGTTGAAATCTCGAAATCGATTTTCCGCAGCATTGTACTCAACTTTGTCCATACAACGTATATTCTCCGTAAGACGAACGTATACGAGAAAGTAACTAGTGGTGCTACAGAATAGCACATACTTTCTTGTGTTAGTTTTGTGTTATCTTTATGATGGGCTCGCTATTCCTACTTGGCACATACCCTTGCCAATGGCCATCTATCGACGTTCTAAGTACTTTTTTTTGAAGTTGCCAATTTTTTCGGTTTCTTAATAGTAGAATCGAAATATTACAGCCGATTAAACCTCGCCCTAAATGGCAATTTTCATTGAAACATCTGGAGTGGTGGTTAAAAACATTTACCACTTTTATACGTGTATTTTACTCTATTCTTACAAGAAATTTAAAGAAAAAAATTGGAGTGGTTTTTGAAAAAATTTTGAAAATGTCCCAGAGACTTTATGTAAAGTACCCCCAAATTTTAAGGAATGATTTTTTCCAAATCTCAAAGCTTCGACTCAAGCCTGATCAAAAGTGGTTTCCTGAATTTGGAAACAATCAAACGTGTCGCAGTAATCCTGCTACTGACTACTAGAAGCCACGAGCTATTGGATAAATCACGACACAAGTGTCGATTTTCTTTTAAAACGTGATCATTCGTCGTTGAAGGTTTTCCTCTGCCTATGATGGTTTTAAAACAGTTTTTGTAGTGTTAGGTACACTTTCTCGCAGTGAGATGTTCTTTTCTCTCTGAAATAAAGTTATATTTTCACGATACTCAAGTCGTGCCCGATAGTGGACTGGGGTAAAAGGCGAAGGAAAAACAGAAAGCTTTTTTATATGCCCTATTGTTGCCTCAAATCAGGAATGTAACATTAGAGCACCCTCGGAACAAAGAGGAGAAAAGTTGATTTGTTTTGAATTGTTTTCAAGAAAATGTGGATGGTTATTCAAGTCAACAGCTGGTTCCAGGTTCCGGACATCTTCGTAATTTGCAATTAACAGGTCCAAACATTTTCCTATCATTCTCAGATTTTCACGTGAAAAAGTATGCAGATTTTGCACATTGTTGCAATAATACAAACAGCATCATGTATGTATAAACAGCGACATGTATGTATAAAAGTTTGTGTATCTTCAAGACTTTATTTATGTAAAAGCTAAGCCATCATCTTCAAGACTTTAGTTGTGTAAAAGCTAAGCCCAAATATTACGCAGGTCCCCAAATTAACACCTTTCTTCTTCCATCAGGGCGTGTCCCAATTGTGGACCTATTACAAGAAATTACATCAAATCTTCATTAAAACTTACCAAGCAAAAGATATTGAAAATATATTTCATAAAAAATAACATTAAAATCATTAAGGGTAACAAGTAATATTTTAACCGCGTGACTTAAATATTGAAATTCAATCATTAAAATTTGAATCTAGCACAGGAAATTGCATACATTTTTAAAAACATTTATGACAAAGTGCAATATTTATTTATATTTTTAAATAATCATATATTTATTACAATTGATACATTTAAAAATTAATAGTTAAATTTATTAAATTCTGGTTAACTAAATTCCCCCATTTCATGAAAACTTACGAACATTGAGCATTCTGGATTATTCCCAAACAACTAATAATTAAAGTTCAAAGAAGGTAATGCATCTCTCGATGATGATAATGAATAGTACAATTTTATAAAATAAATATTTAAAAAGCCGACAGTTTATAAGAATATACGGGATTCACTAATTTAATAGCACCTAGACTCGAAATTCGATGGCACTTTTCATAAAGGGCACGTAAAACCAAATATTCCATTCATTTTATCTTCTCTTATATAAATAGTGGTGCTACAGAATGGCACATACTTTCTCGTATTATTTTCTATTTTCTTTGACCTGAGCTACCTATTCGGACTTGCCACATACTCTTGTCAGCTACCATCTAGCTATCGTCACCCACATTACATTTTTTTGAACATTTCTCAATTTTTAGGATTCTAATAATAGAACCGAAAAATTACTTTAAGAATATTAAAGAAGAGTAAAACATTTTAATTTTTTTCTTCAATTTCTCGATTTCCTAATGGTGGAACTGAAATATTACTTAAAGAATATTATATACCAGTGAAACCTTGTCCTATAAATATAATTCCGTTTAAAGCTTTAGAGCATATTTAAAGAAAATGACGTGTTGTAATGAAATATATATACATATATATATATATATATATATATATATATATATATATATATATATAATATGTATTATACGGAGTTTAAGCTCCTTTTCCAGAACATTTTTGAGTTATCGAAAAACTTCTTTTAAAATCATTTGAAGCACTTTAACTCACAAATGCAATAGATTTAACAAATCACTAGATTTGTGCATATTCACGGCGTGAGATATATTAAAAATATAATTTGAGTAATTTTTGAAGAAACAAATCAATACTGCAAAATGAATTTTATGTCATCTTAAACAGTGCCATCAGCAATACGTACGAAAAGTTTGAAGAAAAAATTTCGAACTTTTTTGGACAATTTTTTTTATTATTATAGAGCAGCATCTTAGCATCATTGCTAGGGTCGTGATAATATTTACTTTGAACCGTATTCAAAAACAAAAAGTAGCGACTTGAAGTGTGATGAAAAATTGTTATAATAACAATAATAACATTTATCGAATCATAAACAATTACAATAGTGTGTAACGAGTCAATATGATGTCTTGGGTGGAGAGAGCAAAGTTACATTACAGTTCAAGAGCGAAACAAGGGGCCATCTCAGCATTTGCTCAAGGGACCAGGGAAACTGAACAAGAAACCTGAGAGATGTGGGTCATTGGCCTAGGAATTATTCTACAATACCTACAGATAGATTAGAATATTATACAGTAGATAATTATTTTTAGTAGCAAATAATTTAACATTTCAAGATTTGCACAGTTTCATTTTTAAAGTAGAAGTAAAATTTCCTTGTTGCTGTCATTTTACTGTTACTACTTTTAATAATAACTGCAATAATAATAATAATAATAATAATAATAATAATAATAATAATAATAATAATAATAATAATAAAACAGTATATGGTATCAATTATAGTAACAATATTAGCACATTCTGTGTTTAAAACATAAAACGGTGAGGAGGCAGGTTTTGACCGTTTTTTTCTTTCTTTTTTCCTATTCACCTAGTCCTACTGAATCTAGAAAATCCAGAGAGAAACAGAAATGTTTGTCAGGCATTCTCCTCCATGTTGCAGGTCGCGATATGCTAGTTACTTTTTCTTTGCTTCGGCTCGAAACAGTCAACATGAAACAGAAATTCAAATGTGATAAGAAATTTGTATTTATTTATATTTTTAAGGGAAATATTGTTGTGATTTCAATATTTCTTCACACTGTAAATCATGTTCTTAAGCAGCAAAGCTTTTAATTTACTTTAAAATTTATGGATTGTGTTTATGTTTTTAATATTATTTCCTAGT